GCCCACATTGTTACTTAATCCCAACCGTGGGATACTAGAGATGGGCATAGGGAATTAGGTCAAATACAGAAGCACAAAAAACAGAGAAAGGGGCACGCTTTCTTTTCAATGTGCAAAAGGGACCACAAGAGGTCACTGGCTCAGGAGTCAGAAAAACCAGACTACAGTTCTGTGTCAGTCACACCATACGTGGGTAAGTGCTGCAGCTTCTCTAGGCCTTAGGGTTTTTCAATCGTTAAATCTAAGAGTGAGTCAATCACTTTAACCTGTAAGGCTGCTTGCAGTTAGTGTTCTATGACCTTAATTTAATTACAGTGAACATGATACTTGTTTAGGAACTGGTAGTTAAGGAGTAGGAAAAAAAACTTTTTAAAAGGGGAGAAGAGAAAGTTTATAATAACCAAGGAGAGAAATAAAAGGAAAAGGATAAAGTTTTCCAAACTCAGCCTCTATCTCCCATTATTGAAAAAGCTGTATCTGAAAAAAATATTTATTCAGTTACTCTCCCACTGAAGGAGGTACCTTTGCTTGAAATTGTTATTCAATACCCCAACCCAAGATGACTGGAAAAAATAATGCATATCAACAAACAAAACAGAGGGCCCAGGCTATTAGGTACATGCAGCATAGTAAAGAAGTAAATTTTACTACCATCCATGGAATTTCACATTATTAAACTCTCAGTTCATATCATGGCAGCAAAGGGAATCAGCTTTTGGCCACCGTGTGTTTTTTTAATGAATTTCCAGATTCTTCAGTTATACTGAACAAAATCTAAATAGATCTACTGCTGATACCTGAACATGCAGAATTGGAGACAGCAGGAGTTAATATGAAAGTGTTGACACTTGATCACTCTTTTCTTTCCTTGAACACAAGGAGTAAGTGCAGTTCTACCCTGTCCTCATTGCTACAAAGTAAGCAATCAACTAAGGCCCCTTCCTTGATTTCTCTATGAAATCTCACCTGTTCTATGATTCAGAGCAGGCTACAGAATTTACTTAACATGTGTTTCAGGTTATACTGCTTTACTAATCCCTTGGCTGCTGTATATACATTTTAGAAATTAACTGATTATATTTTCAAGTGTATCAAATGAACAGTTCATCATAGGTGCACTGAGTGATATGTTAATAAAAGTTAGAAGCAGTGGGCTTCCCTGGTGGCGCAGTGGTTGAGAGTCCGCCTGCCGGTGCAGGGGACACGGGTTCGTGCCCCGGGCTGGGGGGATCCCACATGCCGCGGAGCAGCTGGGCCCGTGGGCCGTGGCCGCTGAGCCTGCACGTCCGGAGCCTGTGCAAAAAAAGTGACAACATCTCAGTATTGCCTCACCTTACGAAACATCCATCTTGGCAAAGTTAGCTACACAGTACATACCTCACCTACTTAAGTGAATCATCTTTTACCAAAAACTGCCTTGATAAAAATCAGAGCTGCATCCCCTAGGAGAAAATTCCAGGATGCTCAATTGAAAATTTTGTTAAGTTACAATAAAGACTCAGTAAATCTGCTGGCCAGCTGTGCAGCAGGCAGTTAGACATTATATTAAGGCACAGCAACCTGCTCAGGTTGAATTCCCCTGGGGTTCTCATTCCCCTCAGGGCATTTTAAGAACTTCCCACCTTCTGCAATCTCCCAGATGTTGGACCAGAAATCAGAACGTCTCACCTACCCTTATTATCCAACTATGCCCAACTCTGAAAAGAATGCTTTCTAAAACTTGGCTCCCTCCTCTTCTCAGCTGGGGAAATGTACTATCTAATTGGGCAAGACAGGCATTTCACATTTTAACACTATGTGCTCCTCTCTAGTTCATGGTGAACAATGACATGAAAATTCTTTCCACTTAAAACTGCAACAGTTACAGAGTTTAAAAGCTTGGTTTGTCCTCAGGGTTTAAAAGTTTGTATGTTGAGAAAGAACTGTTGAGATGTTTATACACTTTGTGATTTCAAGAATATTCATTTTATCGTTGTTTAGCATACACATTCCAGCTGTTTTTAACTTTCTGGCAAATCGCTTTATATTTCCCAATCATGAACAGTTTAATAGTACTATTCATTCACTCAACACTCATTCAACAAATACTTACAGAATGCCTGTGTCAGACACTGTTCTAAGGGATTAGAAGTCAACAATGAACGAAACAGACAAATATCCCTGTCCTCATGTGGTTACACTGTAGAGAGATATATAGTATGATAGGTGATGGTAAGGGCTAAAGAGAAAAACAAAGCACAGAAGGGGAGCAAGAAGCATTGAAGGTGGAGTGTCATTTTAGTATTTTATCAACTTATTTTGACAATACCATTGAAAAATACTTTTTTAAATTTTCCCTTCTTTTTTAAAAATTCTGACCCCTAAGCAGATTGTACATTGGTTTTTCCATTGAGTGTTTCTAGGGAAGACAAAAGCTTAAACTTGGGGTGTGGATAAGTTAGATTGTGTCTAACAAGCAGTGCATTATGAGGCCATGCGATAAAGGCCCTGATGGTGAAATGACCTGTTGGAAAGTTGGAGGTTTGGGTGAGCTTCCTGCATGGATCGCTCAAGGGGTGTTCTTCCTGTGGACCGGGAATGCAGAATCTCTAAGGAAACCCTTTGCTCTTAAGATGTAATTTACATATTTGCTTTCAGTTGAAATAACTGAAAATATTACATCTAACAGTTGTTTGTCTAATATAGAGAGTGTCATATGTATTTAAGTTGTGTATTTTTAAAAAGTAAGCCAAATACCAAGAAAGGGGGGAGAGGGAGCAGATAAATTTCTCCTTACAGTTGCAAATACCTATTTTAACATCTACTATCGCCTTAGGGTCTAGAGGCATGGTAAACTAAATGCTCAGAGTATTCAAGTAGCCTGATGACAATGCATATTGCAACCACACTGCTGCTTTGGTAATTTTCACAGGAACCAGACATAATACATCCACTTGGTAAGAGGACATTTCAAAATTATTTGCCAAGATTAATAGGCAGTATGTCACATTTTTCATGGAGAAACAGTGTTAGTATGCTATCCATCTAATTTATATTGGTAAATTTGACTATTACATTGACTATTTTAATGTCTTTTTAAAAATTATGATTGCATACTCATAAGCTGTTATATATTAAAAGAATAAACAGTCTCTCCAAAAGAATCCCAATACCCTGCCCCCACAGCTTCCTCAAATACATTTAAACCAGCATAACTGGCTCAAATGTAGTTATCATAATCTTATCAAAAAGTAGAGTGGTGATCGTTCTGTAAAGTATAAAAATATCAAATCACTGCTGCACCTAGAACTAACATAGTATTGTAGTACTTCAATTTAGTAGCACTTCATCATATTGTAATATTTCAATTGAATAAATAAATAAATAAAACATATACATAATGTCTGCCTTCGATCATCATATTAGAAACTTAAATAATGTAGTCAAATAAAATCTATGATACTTTACTTTTAGGTGCTAATTTAAACCTCCTTCTAGCCAGTCTTTTAATAAATCTTCTACGAAGTATTCTCCCTAATTGTTTGGACTTTAACCCGATTAGCAATCCTTATAAGGTAAGTAAGAACATAAAGGGAAAATATTGATGGGAAGGAAGCTGGCCTGTAGGTAATAATGGGTACATTAAAGGAATGGCCAAGTTTGGACTCTTCAAACTTGTTGAGTGCCACCAATGAAAGTAGTATTTATCCTTGCTAAAAGATCCACCTAAAAGATCATGCTTTTGATGAGCAGTGGTGGCTAGTCACAAATCCTTGAAGGTCAAATGTTATTTAATCATATTTCACATCCTACACTAACTCTCTTGGTTTTGCTGACAGGCATACTTTCTAGCATAATACATCACTGGCTGAAGAAAGTTTTGAAAAAGAAAGAGAAAAGAAAACTCTAATAGTAAGAAAAAAGCACAGCAATCACCAAGAAAGAAAGAGGGCAAGGAACACTATGTCTAAAGCTATACCAAAAATTGACAGGAGTTAGGGTACAGTATGAATTGGGTATCTGAACACAGGCTACAAAGGAAATATTCAGGGCAAGAGTGACACCACTGTAAAGAGTATATAAAAATACGTAATACTTAGGTTGCCTTAAATTTATGTGGAAATGAAGACCATTGTCTATAAAGTGTTCACAGCTATAGGTAAAATTAGGAGAGGCGTTCAGTCATTAAGCAACCCTTAAAAGGCAAAAAACCATTTTGTTTCCCCCATCCTGAAATCTCCTGTCCTTCTCCTTTCTTAGGGGCTCAATCTGAGAGAAGAAATCCTGCAAGAGAACTGCACACTTGATTGTGGGGTTATGCCAGGCACTGTGCTGAATGCTGTGCAGTGCTGAAATGCGGCTCCCCCTCAGAGGCAGAGAGCCTCAGCATGGTCCAGTCCCAGACACCTACCTCTCAGAATGTTTTCAGCCCAGAGTGGGATGCATTTCTCCAATTCATCAGCTAAAAGGAACTGCGTTTTTAAAAATTCTCACAAAGGCAAAAGAGTGGCCCTGGGTACCATAGATTAATCTATTGATGTGCCTATAATTGCCATCATACATGTCATCTGTTCTCAGTTCTCCATTCTTTTCTTATCCTTTTCTGCCTCCCTCTACCTATGCTCTAGGCCCACACAAATTGTGTTTGGCTCTAGCTGGCAGCACTCAGAGCTGGAGTTTGCTGTCCTCAATTAATGACAACAGCAGGATATATGTAGCTATATATAGCGTACCACTATGTGCCTGACACTTTGCTAAGTGTAGTCCAAAAATGATCTTATTTAATCTTTATAACAACCCTATGACATAGGAGGTATTTTATCTCCATTTTACAAATGCAGAAACAGGCCCTAAAAGATTAAGTAACCTGCCCAAGGTCATACAGCTAACAAATCTCAACGTATAGATCTCATACCTAGGTATCCATCTTATCCCAAAGAGTAATAATGCTCTTTACATTAAGCCATAAAGCCTGTGCTCAGAAATCATACATATCTGAATTTCAACTCTAATGCTACCACTTACCATTTGTGCAGTTTGGTAAATTATTCAATCTGAGTTTCCTCGAGTATGAAATGGAATAGCAATACCACTTAAGTTGGCGGCTGTGAGCACTAAATGAGCTAACATATATAAAAGTTGTCGGGCAGTGCTTGTGGGATACTGTAATCAATACTGCGTTCAATCCCGCCCTTCCTTCTATTTGATTATCAGTTATAGAGGCAGCCACGAAAAGATAACACCAAGGATAAGCAAAAATTGTGGATCATCATCAAGCACAACGTCAGTGGTAGGCTTGCTCGGTCTCCCAGAGGTTCCGGCACTGCAAAACTAATGTAACCGCACTTCCTCCACGCCCCTGGTTGCGTGAGCCCCAAACAGAAGAAATTCGTAGCTGGAGCCTGAACTGGAGCCGCTAGGATACGCCATCTCGCAACCTCCTGCTTTACACCAAAATCAAGAATCACCTTTGCCCACCCCACCTACCTAGCAGCTTCCCCTGGAACCATCGCCTACTCTGAGGCCCACCCCATTCCTCTGGGTATTCGCTAAGGCAGAGCTGGACGCGTGACCCAGTACCTCTCCGGGCTAGGAGCTGCGGCAATTTCTGGGCGTGTTCCCCTTCCCTGGGCCGCAGGCCTGACTCCCCTCCTGGAGGATACTGGGCACCGCCCGCCCAGGTGCATGAGCACCAGGTCCAAGAGGCGCCTCGCGGCCTGGAGCTGAGCGCGGAACTCTGGCTACACCGGGAGGCGCGGGGCAACCCTGGGTCTCGGCAGGCCGCCGACCTCGCGTTCAGCGGATCCAGAGGCCCCGCGCGCCCCGGCCTCTCCCTGGCCGCGCGTAGCCCAGGATGCACTTCCAGCGCGAGGTCAGGGCAGGCCGAGTCGCGCTGAGCCTGCGGGCCCGATTCTTCCGACCCGGACTCTTCTCCTGCCCCAGGGGATCGGTGGGTTGCGGGTGGCCCGCCACTCCGGGCCCGAAACAGAAAGAAGTCCGCACTCACTTCTCCGTCTAAGGTGTAGAAGTCGCTCCAAGGTAGAGACCAGGCACGCACACACCGCGGAACCTCCCGGCCGCCTGGGATTCACGGAAACCTAGGGCGGATCCGGCTGAGGGGAGGGGCGGGGCAGGGCTGAGGCCGGCTCCGCCCATCCCGGCCACTGCCTGCCCAGAGCTCGTAGACACTGATCTGTTCCTGTAGGTTGATGCTTCACGGCTAGTAGATCGCTTGCTTACCGAAAACTCCAAGTTGACTTAAGGCGTCTAAGTAAGTTATTTGGTGCACCAAAATAAGTTCCTGAAAATAAAAGAAGTTATATTTGAGAAAATTTATACCACAAGCTGAACCAGGAAAGAACCAGCTTCAGCATGAAAGTAGTGAAATGCTAACTACTAACCATTCTTATTTAGAGCGCTTTCAATGTGCAACTATCGGAGTCACTTGATATTCTTAATTTCATTTAATCCTCACAATTTTGTAACGGATTAGTGCCATTATCCCCATTTCGCAAGTGAGAAAAATATGACTAACTGGAGATTTGATAGCTAAGTAATTGGCCTATTTGCCCAAAGTCACAGATTCAGAGTAACCTCTAAACGCCCCACTTGACTGCGACTTGATGCTGCTTGAGATTAAAGTACTACGGAAAATATTGCTCCATCTGACTGCTTGAAGTTTGAATTTCTGTCCAAAAAAACAGGGACAAAATCAATAGGCAAACACATGGGAAAAAATATTTGCCACAAACCTGACATTCAAAAACAAGGGTTAGTATCTTAAGTATAATTGCCTTTAAAAATAGAAAAATGGGCAAAAGATAACTTTTTTAATTACAGAAGAAATGGAAAAATTAACCAAAGAAGAAATATAGACTTTTCTAAGCCAAAATTTTCTTTTAATCCAAAAAAATGCAAAGTAAACACTTTTAAATAATCGTATCAGTGCAAGTGAAGATTCATTCCTTTATTCAACACCTCCTGGGTGCCTGTTATGTGCCAAACATTGTTCTATAAACACTGTTCTATAGAGACTTGTGATAAAACAGTGACAGACAGAAGCTTCTACCCTAGAGGGAGAACAAATAATAAGTTATTAAAAAGAAGCAAAATAATTTCAGATAGCCATAAGTACTGTGAAAGGAAAATCAAAATGGAGTCAGTATTGCTAAAAGAGCTTTCTAAAATGGAGCCAGGAGCCCCCTGTGGAAGTGTAACTTATGTACATCTCAGCTCAGGTGGAATCTTAATAGGCGCATCCAGAATATCTGCCCAATGTTCATGAAAATCAAGATACTTATTAGACCCTTGTGATAGCCTATCCATTAGGAACAAGTATCTTCTTTTCTGCATCAGAATCAACCATAATTCTTGCCAGACAACTTTAACCACCTTGTAGTTTCTGCCTTTATAAGCCCCTCTCTCTTTCCAGAAACACTCTTCCAGTTTTACTTAAGTCTGTATCTCCCAAATTGCAATTACTAAGACCCCCAAATAAAGCTCTTTGTTCATTGCAACCCTGATATTGATTATTGTTCACAGTACCATGAGGAAAGTAATACAGGGTAATGTGATAGAAAGAGACTTGGGGATAATAAGAAACTTTTCAGACAGGGAAGGTCTCTCAAAGGTGGTGATATTTTGGGCTTCCCTAGTGGCGCAGTGGTTGAGAGTCTGCCTGCCGATGCAGGGGACGCAGGTTCGTGCTCTGGTCCGGGAAGATCCCACATGCCGTGGAGCGGTTGGGCCCATGAGCCATGGCCGCGGAGCCTGCACGTCTGGAGCCTGTGCTCCGCAACGGGAGTAGGCCACAACAGTGAGAGGCCCGCGGACCGCAAAAAAAAAAAAAAAAAGGGGTGATATTTTATGTGAGAACTGAAAAATAAGAAAGACCCAGTCCTGCAAAGATCTGAAGGCAGAGGAATGATAACAGGGACAAAGGCAGGAATAGACTTAGCAAACTGCAGGAACAGAAACAAGGACTTTGTGGTTGGAACATAGTAGGGAGGAAAGAGAAGTGTTTTATTTTGTTTTTACTAAAGGTTGGTAAAAATAACCTTTTTGTTTTATTTTTGATTCTGTTTTTACGTTAAAGTGAAGGTCCTCAAGTACCACTAATTTAGTTACAAGTTTCAAAATTTCCAGAATACATAGTATCAATACCCAATTTTCATCACCTTTGTCTCCACTAAAATAGGGAGCAGAGACAATGAAATGGTTTTGTACTTTTAGTACCCAGTAAGCAATCTCTCAATTAAATAGACAGTGCCATAGCTATTCAATGTACTTATTCCATTTTCCTCAAACTATAGTCTAAATTCCATTCTACTTTTGTACTTATTCATTCGCCCATTTATTCAACACATACTGAATGCATACTATGTATCAGGCATAACAAGTTTCTAGAAACAAAGAACAAATAGGCATGGGACTTAACACCTGGTGGAGATTTAAAGGGATGCTAAAATGAATGAGATATTCACAAAATAGTCTCTTGGCATTCTTCTACCTCACTGGTTGTTCCTTTTTATCTCCTTTTCTTTTTGATCCTCATATTCCCAGTTCTTACACTGGAGTACCCCAGGGATTTGTTCTTTACTTTTCTTTTTTCTATCTTCATCCACACCTTTAGTTACCTCATCTAGCCTTACAGCTTTGAAATCCATCTATATTCTAAAGGCTCCCAAATTTCCAAATCCTGAAACTCTAGATTCCAACTCCCTACTTGTGAGTTGTTATCTACTGTTCCATAACAGATTATACCAAACTTAGAGACTTACAACTAAGTAGTCATTTATTATATACAGCTTCTTTGTTTCAGGAATTTCAGAGTGGCTTAGCTGGGTTCTGGCTTATCATCTCTCACAAGAGTTGCAATCAGGTATTATGCAGAGTTGCAGTCATCTTATGGGGCTGGAGGATCTACTTCCAAGGTGGCTTACTCGCACATTAACAGTAGTGCTCTTTGTTGGTGGAAGACCTCGGTTCCCTCTCCAACGTGTACCTCTTACTAGAGCTGCTTGAGTACCCTAATGGTATGGCCTCTGGCTTCCCCCAAGGCAAACAATCTGAGAGATCAAGGGAGAAGCTTCGTGAGTTTTATGATTTAGCCTCAGAAGTCATATACCATCACATTTGCAGTATTCTACTGGTCAAATAGACAAGCCTATATCTAATGTGAGAGGGAATCCCACAAAGGAGTATCCAGGAGGTAAGAACCACTGGGGGCCATTTTGAAGGCTGGTTACCACAGATGCCTAATAATCCTGATCTTCCTTCCCAAATCTGTATCTCCCACAGTCCTCTTTATCTCAAGTAATGGCAAAGCTTCTTCCAGTTGTTTGGGCCAAAACACTTGGAGACATCTTTGCCTCTCTCATACCCCACCCCAACTGATCCACTGTGTTGGCTAATCCTGTCAACTCTACCTTCAAAATACACCTGGATTCTGACTAATCCTATTTTCCAGCCTAGTCTGAGTCACCTCTATTTCTTTCTACATTTCTGTAATACCCAGTAACTGCTTCCCTTCCTGCTCCCCTTCAGTCTATTTTCAAAACAGTCATAAGGATCTAATTAAAATGTAAATTAGACTGTGTCCCACATGATCATACAAAGAACGAAAGCCAAAGTCCTTACAATTGCCTACAAGGTCCTACATTACTTCGTCCCCATCTCCTCTCTGACCTTATCTCTTAAGGTCACTCAAGACCTTAAGAGTCTCCTTCTTGCTCACTCAATCTAGAGCGGACTTATGTTCAGAGAAAATGCCACTTGCCTTCCCAATTCATGCCTTTGCACTTTCATTTCATTTGGCAAGATATGCTCTGCCCCCAGATATTTTCATGGCTCATTCCCTCTTCCCTCTCAGTGAGTTCTTCTGTGGCCACCACCCTATTTAAAACTGTAATGCCTATGCAGAAATACACTCTATACCCCTTTCTGCTTTATCTTCCTTTTTCAGCATTTATCATCATTTATTATATCTTTTATGATTTATTATATCATTTACCTTGCTTACTATCTTTCCCCAACTGGAATAGATGCTCCACTAGGAATTCAC